AAGATGGTGCCCGAGGTGGTGCGTGTTTCACTGCCCGCCGGCGCCTCTTGTTTGCCTGTTCTTACTATGGGAACGGGCCCCCTTTTTTCGCTAAAATTTGCGGACGACCCTCGCAGGCCTCCGTTTTGCTTTGTCCTTGTTGTTCGCTGTGGTTCAGACACGAGGCCACGAACGGGACAAAGAGACAGAAAAGAAGAAAAAAACCGCGAACACCCGCGCCAGCTATGGCCGACGCGTTGAAAATGGTGCCCGTGGTGGTGCGCGTTTAACTGCCCGCCGCCGCCTCTTGGTTGCTTGTTCTTACTATGGGAATACTGCCCCCCTTTTTTATTCGCTATGATTTGCGGACGGCCCTCGCGGGCCTCCGCGTACCTTTGATGTTCTTGCTGTTCACTATGGTTCAGACCCAAGGCCACGAACGGGACAAAGAAAGAGAAAAAAAAAAAAAGCCACGAACACCCGCGCCAGCTATGGCCAACGCGTTGAAGATGGTGCCCGTGGTGGTGCGCGTTTCACTGCCCGCCGGCGCCTCTTGGTTGCTTGTTCTTACTATGGGGACGGGGCCCCCTTTCTTTCGCTATAATTTGCGGACGACCCTCGCGGGCCTCCGTTTTCCTTTGTCCTTGTTTTTCGCTATAGTTCAGACACAAGGCCACGAACGGGACAAAGAGACAGAAGAGAAGAAAAAAACCGCGGACACCCGCGCCAGCTATGGCCAACGCGTTGAAAATGGTGCCCGTGGTGGCGCGTGTTCAACTGCCCGCCGGCGCCTCCTGGTTGCTTACTGTTGTGACCATCTTCGGAACACGGCCCCCCTTTTTTCGCTATAATTTGCGGACGACCCTCGCGGGCCTCCGCTCTGTTTCCTTTGTTCTTGTTGTTGTTGGTTCGCTACTGTTCGGACCCAAAGCCACGAACGGGACAAAGAGGGAGAAAAGAAGAAAAAGGCCACGAACACCCGCGCCGGCTATGGCCAACGCGTTGAAGGTGGTGCCCGTGGTGGTGCGTGTTTCACTGCCCGCCGGCGCCTCCTCGTTGCTTGTTCTTACTATGGGAGCAAGG